GAAACGTCACAGCACGTTGATATAAAACATACACCACACATCCAGTGACAGATCCACTTGAGGGGATAGTGACGACTATTGGCCCTACTCAACTTTTTTTACTGCCCATGAAGTTCCATTGATGCTCTGTTGAGCAAGGCAGGTTAGAGAGACAAAGTGGCGTGGACTGGGTATTCTCGGCAGCTGTGGAAGGTTTGGTGACTCTGTGGATTGCAGATTTATAAGTATCTAGCACCCTTATTTGTTACTTGTTGAGTATTTGAATGATGTATGAAACGTGTGGTAGATTTTGTAGATTTGGTCTACATCTTGCCCCCAATAAGAAAAATTCACGGATCGGTCACTGCACAGATCCCATATATAAGGAGTTCACAAGATAAAGTCTTCCTGCCAAATTCAAAGAACAAGCAAATGGAAAAAAACATGTGGGGAAAGAAAATGAATAGTTGTGCTGGGCAATTCACCAACAATGCATTTATTTGGGTATAAACAAACTATATAGGCAGCTCCAGCTGTGATTAGAAACTCCAAGTTATGTAGCACTCAAATAGTGATCAACTAAAACTTATCATCATCATTTACATGTTAGTACATGTTTTTGTTACCTCTATACGATTTGTTTCTATTTTACCAACGACGTGTCTGGTAATTGGATTGTTTCTTCTTGTACTGCGCAGAGGCTTACATGGACGGTATTGAAATCTGCTTTCGCACAGCGAGCTCAGAGTTTGCATGTCCTCCAAAGGAATAAACAGAGATCGCCACAAGTAGCAGACAGTACTGGTGGAGGTTCGACTGACTTGAAGTTACCAAACGAGGAAAGCATTAGGGACAGGGTGAATACTCTATTGGTGGTTACCACACTTATTGCCACAATGGCATTTGCAGCCGGTTTCACAATGCCAGGTGGCAACAACGGTGACGCCCCTCAGGAGGGCATGGCAATCTTGCTAACCAACGCTATGTTCCAAGCCTTTGTGATTTGTAACACCATAGCTATGTATACTGCCATCCTTGTTGCAGTCTGTCTCATATGGGCGCAGTTGGGGGACTTAAATTTGGTGGACACAGCTCTCCGTCTGGCATTGCCGCTGTTGGGGATTGTGCTTACCATGATTTCCTTAGCCTTCATGGCTGGGGTTTATGTGGTAGTTAGCAATCTTCATTGGCTTGCATATGTTGTATTGATCCTGGGAGTCCTTTTCATTTTCACCGTCTTAGTAGTTTTCACTCCACTCTTCTGCAAAACTACTTCTAGGTTCCGCATCTTTCGTTGGATCACTTATTTTCTCTTCTGTGTGGAAGTACGGGCTTCTGGAAGTCACAACGATGACTAAGAAGAAGACTGATCTCCTTGGTTGCGCGACACTGTGGGCCTTCAAACTTATCATCTTGGAATGTTTAAGTGGTAGAGTTCTTGTGTTCCCTAAAAAAAAGTAGTAGTTTTTATGTTTCATGCACTTTATGTTGTAGTTAAGAACTTTTTGAGAATGTATGTATTATTAATAATTGTGTCAATTTTATTTTGGACAAACTACAAAAGACCCCCCAAATTATAGGATCATTTTCAAGTTCATAACCGCCTTTGAGGACATTTACAAGTACATACTCAAACTCCTAGAAAACCTACAATTTACCCACTCCGTTAGCCAAACCGTTAATAAATCTATTATGCTACTGGGGTATGGAATTTATGTCAAGCCTTTAGCATGATCTATAGGCTCATGTGATTCATTAGAGCATGTTCGCAATTTCTATTATTGATCTACCTTGTTGCTTTGGCCAAAGGCTTCTAAGTCACATATTTCGAGACCAGTCATCCCTCATTGCTTTGGCCAAACACTTATCTTAATGTCTCCACATGAATCACTCGAGACCAGTCATCCTCCTGATTGAGCATATATAGTGCATGATGGTCTTTGCTGATTATCAATGCCAAGTTCATTATCCTATGACCATGAACTATTTAGGATGTGGACATGGCACATAAAGGTCTCCTGAACTTAACTTCTTTAAGTCTCTTTCTGCGTCTCACGATCCATGGACTCGTTGGTTAAGTAAATAACTAAGACTACTACTCAAAACAACATCATGCCTTTGATTAATTAAGTGAAATATCCTTAGAGTTTACATCTCATGATTGGCTCTAGGCTATATTTCTAACAGTCGGTTCGGGTCAGGTACATGCGTTGACTTTTTTTGTGTGGTCAAAAACCCAAGTAAACTCTATATCTTCTTCACTTAATTGAAGAATATAAGATGAAGAAGACTGGATTTTATGGTTGATAGCAAAAGCGAAACAGAGTCATTGATAATTGGAGATTGAAGATCACTTGTAGTAACTTAATTCTTGTTATTTATTTTGTACCTTAAGGTTGTAAAGTGCAATTGATTGATAAGTATGTAGGTGCCAACCTAGTTGGGATGTACATATTTTATAGTAATGCATTCAATAACCTTAATGAAATAATGTAATATGTTTTATGAATTAATAAATTTATTGTTATATTTTCAACAGGTTGTCTAAAAAATTTGTAACAAAAAAATATAAATAATTTTTTTTTAAAAAGTATTAAAAATAAAATAAAAAGCCCGACCCGTCTAGGCCCATCGGCGGGCCTGGGCCTAGTCTTTTGAAACCTCTACCTGGCCCAATAACGAACCCTACTATAAACCCTCAAATGATCGGATGGGTCTCCTTACTTTAAAAGCCTGCAATATTTTGATTTGTGTCTCATACGATGAATTATAATAACCATTTGAAGTTCATATCTGGTGTTTCCTTTTTGTCACTTTTCACTTTTAAATAATTTTTATCTCTTTTAGTCTATAATGTTGAAGTGAGTCTCCTAATTAATCAAGGAGATTTATTTCCTTGATTAATTAAGGGACTTACTTTCCTATTTTATAGATTTATTTCCTTGATTAATTAATGGATTTACTTTCCTATTTTATATAGGTATCAAATCATTGTATAAGTAGGAGATACTTTCATAATCCTTTACTATATCTAATTCCTTGTAAAGCACTCATGCAAACTCTTATATATACCTTCTTATGGAGAAGAATAAAAAGAACCTAACATATTCAAACCCAAATATCATATTTTAGCATGGTATTAGAGCAATCGATCCTCGGTTGTCTCTAAATTCTCATATCAAAATTTCTCCTCCCCTCCTCTTCAAGGGGGGGAGGGGGAGTGAAAAAAGATATGTTTCTCTTTCTCATGGAGATTTTGCCTCTTTCTGGACAACGACATACCCTTCTCTTCAGGGGGAGAAGAGAATTGAAGAGAAGTTTCTGTGTCCTTAGTCGTATTCACAGGGTTTCTGTGTTCTTCAAATTCCTCATATCGAATTCCTCGTATCAAATTCCTCGTATCGAATTCCTCGTATCGAACTCCTCGTATCGAATTCCTCGTATCAAATTCTTCGTATCGAATTCCTCGTATCAAATTCCTCATATCGAATTCCTCATATTTACATATTCATATTCGGATCTTCGTACCCACATCCTCATATACTCTTATCTCGAAACCTTAAACACATCTTTTTTCTCTTATTCTAAAAACCTTCCGCTGCCATGGATATATCGTTTCCAAAACCACTGAATCTACTTCCTCGTATCGAATTTTTCTTGAAACACAAACCCTAAATCAAATTCCCATACCTTCAAATCCAATTCCTACATCAAATTCATACATCAAATTCCTAAATCAAACAGTCGGTCTCCAGTGGAAAGCCACCGGCCCCCCCCTTAGTTCTTCGAACACAGAGAATCTGCTTCAAAACTACCGGTCGCCAGCGGAAAGCGACTGGTAGTCAGAGAAGCTGTTTCAAAACGACCGGCTGCCAAAATCCAGCGACCGGTCACCTGAGGAAAATGATCAGTTTTCTCCACACTGTCAAAATCAGGAGGAGGAAATTGAACCGTCTTATGAGATTTTGCCCGCTTCAGCTCCAGTACCACACCAATCACCTGCTGAGGAAGTCATTTAGTGTGCCGGCTGACACACCCATTCGGCTGCCAAAATCCAGCGACCGGTCACCTGAGGAAAACGATCAGTTTTCTCCACCACTACTACATTTAACCATTTGCGCGACGGAGAATAATTCGTCGCGCAAAGAACAATCGAGTCGCACTAGGGTCAGCGCGACAGAGACTATCACCGTCGCGCAAAGTTCGTAAAGAATAACTTTGCGCGACAAATAATTGTTTTAGTCGCGCAGAATGCGACAAAGAACAATATTAGTCGCGCAAACAGAGTGACGGTTAATATTCGTCGCACAAACATTCGTCTCACAACAATACGCGCGACAACAACTAAATCGTCGCGCAACATAAAGGGCGACGATCAAAACTCGTCGCAATTTTCGCGTCGCCAAAATATGCACGACGAGGGGCTGTACTCTCACCAACTTTCGTGCGGCGAAAGGCTTTCGTCTCTCTAAAATTTGTGCGACAAAAAAATATTAGTCGCATTGTCTTTTCCGAGACGAAAATTGTTTGTCGCGTAAAAATAAATATAGAGTTTTCAAATTTAATTTAAATTTATACTTTTGTATTAGCGCGACGAAAATTGTCGTCGCGCAAAATTAAATATATTTTATTTAATTTTAATTTTACCCTTTTTTTTGTAATAAAATATATTTAATTTTACGTTTTTTTTTATAATAAAATCTATTTGATTTAATTTTAATTGTACGTTTTTTTTTTTGCAATAAATTTTATTTAGTTTTAATTTTTAATTTTTTTTTGTAATAGAATAAAATTGCAATAAAAACCCATAATGAAGAGGAAAGATAATATAAATTTATATAGTACAAGACAAAATGTTTAAAATGTAATTAAGAAAGTTAAAAACTAATTAAAAAATGTAGCAACATCTATGTTGTCGTCTTGCAAATGCGGCTCGGAAGTCTGGACATGGTCGACAGGGGCAGAAGTGTGGTGGCCATGCTCTGGTTGAGGGGGCTCGGAGGTCGACGAGGAACCAAAATGTGACGGGAGTGGAATGCCGGACCGAGAGAGGGACTCTATAAGCTGTGACATCTGGGTATTATACGAGGCCATTTGGGTAGCCATTTGGGTCTTAAGCTCGGCCACCTCAGCTTTCAAAGCAATCACTTGACTGTCTGATTGGGACGATGGAGGGGCTCTAGGTTCCCGCCGTCTGGCATTCCCCATCCCTCGACAATATGTCCCTGGCCTCCTCCTGAGAGTCTGATCTAAGGTCTCCGTCAGTATCTGAAACCCCGTGTCCGGTGGAGGATCCACAACATCGAGCGGAGTATCGGGAGGAAGCTGGGAGGCGGACTCTTGAAGAACCAACTGGCTCTTCTCTATCATGGTCGTCTATTTAACATAACATAAAATATTAATTAAAACACTCATATAATAACCATGAACTTGAATGCGTAAAACAATAATTAAAATTAAAGAATACTTACATGAAGGGACTCCGCCAACTCATTCCCGGGTCGAACATAAATGTCGCCAAAGACGTCGATCTCCGGGAATTTGGACCCCCCCTTGATTGAACAAGAGAAGAAAATTGTTAGTACCAAAAAAACAAATTCATATTAATGACATATTAAAATTTTTATAAAAAAAAATGATTTAATTATTACCCGCCGCCGCGCCTCCATCCTATATGAGAAGGGCCTGGAACCGGAATGATGGAGAAGAGTCTTCTTGTCCCTATTGCCCTTATTTGCTTTCGCCTTCTTCTGTTATACCAAAAATAAACATATTAGTTGAAAATTAAATGAAATTAAAAAAAAATAAATAAACATTAGTAAGAAATATATAATAAATTTCAACTTAATATAAAAAAATTACCACATAATCAGAGTCTTGAAAATGACCGCAGAGCCACGCCCAACTATCCTCCCGCCCCTCAAGCTCCTTCGGGCAACCCTCCTGAAGAGCGACCTGCGGATCATCATATGCCATAAAATGGTGGTGTAGATCGCTCTTCCACTGCTTGTACCTCTCACCAAAGAGACTGTTGACATACGCCAACGACTCATCGGGGAGGTTCTCTAAATTGTAGTTCGCATGCAATACATTAATTATATTCATTAAGTATTAGAAATATATAAAATTTGAAAGCAAAACAATTAAAAGGCATACATACCGACAGCTGTCCGCGCACCACCGTTCGCATCTCGTCAGGCATGACCTTCCAAGACTTCCATTTCATCGGACAATGGGTCCGAACGACGTGACCAATGTCGTGGGCCAATGAGCTATGTTGGTCNNNCATTGGTGCAGCTCGATGTCGCTCGTCGTATCCGATGTTGACACGACTGTTGGTCACCCGGGTGGCCTTCGCCGTCTTCAACTGGCGACAAGGTCCCCGGGTGTTCCTCTTGGCTGCAAACACATATAACATTAACATTAAATATATAATCCTACCAAAATATTGGTCTGAAACAGCTGGAGTTGAAGGAAATCTTTACCTAGTTGTGAATCCGACGCACCAGCATAAGAGGGCGAAGTG